GGAAAAGAGTCAGAGATACAAAGAATACAGAGAAATAGGTAGCAAAAACACAATTCCCTGGGTAGTTCTAAACTGATTTTATTTCATTTTTTTCCACTTGCTTTATGAAAAGGAAGGGCCCTGAAAGCATCAAAAGAGCCAAGTTACTATTCTGGAAAAGGCCTAAAGCAGTAGACTGGTGAGAGGAGACAAGTCCTCAGATATCCTCTAGACTCTATGGGATATATTACTATTCCCTAGCCCTGTTGTGATGTATTCGAAGCCACCAAAAACTTACTCTGACTGCATCAACTCTGGGAAATTGGGATGGCGATGATAATCTACATAGATAAGCAGAAATTCCCAAAATTACTGGGCCAGAGGCTACATTTATTCATCTTTACTGAGAACTTGAAACCAGAGTGAGACAGTCTTCCTCATTCCTGCAGCAGCACTAGTTCTAGCTCCAACTCCATCACAATTCTGGTCTTCAAGTGTGGACTCTAGAGAACAAGACTCAGACTAGCACACAGAAGATACATGAAGGGACACAGTGACTCCAAACATCCTACACTTCCTATCAACTATGATCCTGAGTAATTGAAGGAGTTTGCTCACCAGACAAAGACTGTAGGGTCCCATATTGTGGATGTTATGGGTATTTGCACTCTATGTTCAAGTGACACAGTGAAATAGCACCTACTCTTGAGCCCATGCTGCTTTGACCAAGAGTCGCATTTCTATGGACTCCTCTGTAATCATGTTTTAAGCCTTGCACTTTTCCTTCTCTGAAGTTACCAAGCATTCTACTATGTACATAAACAATATTGGTGGGAAGCAGTCCTCTCATTTAATGAGAGCAGCTGGAAAATTCCAGAACAAAGGGCCTTAGAAGTCCATGGGTTTCAGCTTGAGGTAAAGAGACAGAGAAGATGTAGGCATGACTCTTCTTCCCTTTCTCAATGTCAGTGCCTCCTTAATATTCTCTCTCTCTCTCTCTCTCTCTCTCTCTCTCTCTCTCTCTTTCCCAGCACAGTCACATATTTTTAATTTATGATAAGCTCTCACTAAATTGGTCTTCTTGGGCTGGAACCTGCATTCCTCCTGCTTCAGTTTACCAGAATGCTGGGATTGCAGACATGTGTCATCACACCCAGCCTTTAGTCTTCTTTTTTCTTTCTCTCACCTGCCTCAAATGTCATATTTTTGAGATTTTTATAGTGTCAGCTCCTCATGGAAAGGACCAGTATTTTTTGAAATTTTCATGGTCTATTCTACTTAATATTATAGAAATTATAATCTATAGCAATAACAAAAACAGAGTTTTCACAGAAGGGCAGGCATTGCACACCACTAGCCCCTGTACTGATAATTGAAACCATTAAAGAAATCTACTTTATTCTATTTTCATCTAATTGAAAATTTGAAGGACAGTTGTTACTTTTCATATTACACACACAGAGATATCCATGCATATGGCATATTTCCCCCACATTCTGGGATATTCAGTACTTGATAAATTTGTCTATGGAATTATAACCTTATGAAAAGAGATTACCATTTTCTGCTGAGATGAACTTAACTGCAGTGGGTGTGAATGGTGCTGCTATAATAATTAAATTCTAACTCTTCCATAATCCTGTGCTCTCCCTTGAGTCATTTTCAGTATTAGACAAGGATGAAAATGCAAACAAGTGCATGTATATTCAATAATAAAGCTTAATAGGTCAGGGAAAGAGTGGAATGAAATGAATGTCTAATACCTCTTGAGATAAGTGGGTAGTTTTTGCCTTCTTAGTTACTTCCTTGACTTGTATTTCCTAGGACCTGAATATATACATCAAATTGTCCTTTATTAACAACCAAATCCATACTGAGCTTATTGCATGGGGCAAGTGTTAATGTACATCACTATGCAAATTGCTTGACTATTTTCAGACTTGCACTTTGGAGGGCATTTGATTTCCATGTGGAAATTATATAGCATCGATTGGGAAGAGAAATAACTGTTGAGTTTGGAGGTTGGTCCTCTGCCTCTGAGTGCATTTATTCTACCTGAAGGACAGTAAGCTACAGACCATGATCCCATTCCTAGACCCAGCCTTGAGATGGCCATGGACACTCCCAGAGTCACCATGGCTTTTCTTCTAGTTGTTCAGCAAATTCACATGAGAGGAGCCAGGGTGCACAGAGACTTCCCCTTGTGACGATTGTATCACCAATGTCCATTGATCTCCACCAAGGTGGCATCTTCCCAAGCTTGTGATGGCCTGCATTCTTTTTGTGTTTTCATAAAGAACTTCACATGCATTAGCTTTTGCAACCATCATCCTGAGATCACTGAGAGGATTGTTGCACTGAACAGAAGAGGAAAGCAGTTGAGGCACAGAGCTGATATGGAACTTTTCCAAGACCTCAGAGTTTTTCATTAGTCCACAATTACTCTGTCTCCATCTGGTTTTTAGGATTGTTTTTGGAATTTGTTATTCATTTTACTTCACACTCTTCTTTATAAGTGGTGACCACCAGACAAACTATACACTCTCAAGTACTGGCTGGGATGGTCTGGCTCTCATGTTTGCCTCTATGATTTCTAGCTGTACTACCATGAGCAAATTCCATAACTGCTCTAAGCTTCAGAGCTCTGGGGTGAAAAAGAGGGCTAGATAGAGATCTTCCTAGGATTATTGACAGGACTCAATTCTGGGTAGTTGATAAGTATTTTGCCGTTTTCTTGATTCCACTACTTATAGGAATCTTCCATCATTTATTTCTTACTTATAGGAATCTTCCATCATTTATTTCTTATTGGGGTTTTGGTAGGCTTGTTTAGTTATTTGTTTGTTGAGGCAGGGTCTCTCTGAGTAGTTCAGGCCAGCCTTGAACTCACTATGCAGCCTAGGCTGGCCTCAAAATCATGGTAATTCTCTTGCCTCAGCCTCTCGAATATTGGCTTGTGCCACCACACCTGGTTCAACATTTAGATATAAGTTAGCATGTAGATAGTCCTTACTTGTGTTGAGCTACACATATAACTCAGAGAGAGAGAGAGAGAGAGAATGAGAGAGTGAGAGAGAGCTTGAAAAAGAGAGATGGGTTTTAAATATTTGAATTATAGAGCTTATAAGAATGATTCAGTCTTCATTTCCCACAATTTGTTAAAAAGAACTATTTGTCAAAATCATAAGCCTGTAACTTCAAAAGAAATACCAAGATACATTTTTCTTCTTGTCAACGATCTTCAAAACACCCATTAGTCTCTTGAAGGATAGTCATAAATTCCACAAATTTCATTTATGTGAACCCAACACTGCCAGTTGTCCTTCCCACCAATCATCCTTTCTCTCTCTCACCATGATTCTCAGACCTCAGTGAACATGTCCTGGGCCTAGGAGGCTGAGGATGAAAGAGAGTACCTAGCTCCCTTTAGAGAATTATTGGACACCCACTCTCACCTCAACCTCTTTCTGACACAACCTCCAACATAGCACTGTTACTGATTTATCAAAGTAGAAGCTGAAGTTTCCTTTCTGTCATTTTTTCTGGTAAAAACACATAGCAAGAAAGACAGAAATGGGAATTTGGGGACTGGCTATAGTACTCACTAGGTGTGTCACTTATCTCTCTAAACCTTTTTTTCTGTCTGCAAAAGGAGTTTGGGGAAAATTTATTTTTCTTGGAAAAGTACTACAATGAAGACAGTGGAGAATATACTACTCCCACTGACTGTCTGGGAATTAAGACTTCTTAGGGAGAGGGAACCAGTGGAAAACAATGATGTGATGTAACCAGGGCTGGGGGGGAGGCAACAGAGGAAAACACTATCTTTTCTAAGGTAAGAGTTCTTTCTAAGAAGCATTTGTGGAAAAAGTGGGATCTGCCTGAGCTCTGGGGAGAAAATGGGATGCCAGAGTAGAGCTGGGGATGTATCCTAGTGGGTATAGTGCCTGCCTGGCAAGCGCAGGGCCTTGAGTTTAATTCTAGGTACCAAAAATAAAAAAGCAATTCAAAAAGGGGAAAAAAGGATGCTAAGGAATGGAAATCCAGTCTTGGAGCTGAGCCTAGAAACAAGAAAGAGGATGGCATGCTTGGCAATGGGGAATGGGTCCAGAGAGACTGAGCCAGACACCCTCCTTGATGCCTGGCGATAAGGTCTGAAGTAGTATTTAATAAATGAAAATATGAACACCAGTTGATCTTTGAGGGCTGCAGACCTGGAATTTTATGATAATGGGCAATCTTTCCTACTGGAGCTCAATCTTGGAGATAGTGAGGCTAGATGGCATTAGAATTAATGCCACTGGTGAAACAAAAGGCTTTGTGTGCCCAATAAACAATTTACAAAGAGCTAGTTCATCACCCAAATCCAGACCACTCATATTTCTCAGGTACCTGGCCTTACCAGAGAACGATTTCTTATCTGTGCCACAGACTTCTATCTCCTGGATCAAACTTTGCAGGAAGAGATGAGTCATATATCAAAAGGTTAATGACCAGCCATTTCTCACTCAACTCTCTCCTGGCCACTGAGCTGGCTGGCAGCAGAGGACTGAGAAAGACCTCTGGGCCTTTTGTCTACCAAAAGGAGTGTCCCAGCAGGGCTCACCAATGGCATGTAGGGCTGGGGGCTATTAGCATGCCCCTGTTCTCTCCTGACAGCCTCGGGGCACCCTGTTCCATGAGGACCCAGTGCTGTGTCTTACCTGCACCCTACACAGTGATTGATCAGTACACTTATTGCACTTTTAGTAGTCAAAATATATAGACTCCAGTAATCTCTGGAGATGCTGCAACAGTCTTTTCCCCCTTGCTTTAGGGGAATGTTGAGGGGAAAGGCGTGTGCAGAGTATGACATAAATATAAGAGCTCAGATATCTAATTAGTTAAAAGAATCTTGGTTCACTCTGCACCTTTGACAGAATCACAGCTGTCAAGTTGCAACTCCAATATTTTATGTTCTTTATGCAATATATCTGAGCAGGATTTAGGAAAGAAGGTGCCTAACTCTGATTTCTCTGCAGGATGCTTGAAGATGACCTAAAGCTGAGCAGTGATGAGGATGACCTTGAGCCTGTGAAGACCTTGACCACTCAGTGCACAGCCACGGAGCTCTACCAGGTAGGAGCAGCTTAGGGCAGTTTGGGAACTGAGGAGAGGGAGCAAAAGAGTTCGAGTGGTTTTGCCAAACACAGGCCACCTCAGCGCTTCATCTCTGGGTTTGGGAGAAAGCAAAAAGGGCAAAGAAGAGCTGATGTGCTGGAACAGATCCAGTCAGCTCCTGCTTTCCTTAAAGCCACAGTAAGGATGAGGAGTGTGGGGGCCGGAGAGAGGGCTCAGTGGAATAAATGCTTCCTTGACAAGCACAAGGGTCTGAGTTCAATCCATGGTTCCACCAAAAAAAAGGATGAGGAGAGTTCCCTGAAACTGTTTTACCACCCCCCGGGCTGCTTTCCATACAAAACTACAGGTCATCAATTAGTAAGAGAGATTGTCTTTTCCTCTCTGGAGCTGCTTTTTGTCTAGTGTGAGTACTAATGTTCACTTGGTGACTCCACGGGGTGGTATAGAGCTCACACTCATTAATTAGGTACAAATGTGACTTCTTCATTCACCTTGTCCAGATGCCCCACTTCCAAATGCAGCCGAAAATCAATACAGTACACCTTGCAGCTTATACAAGCCTTCAGGCAAGTAATATTGGGCAAAAACTTGCTGCTGCGTTTATCTTCTTGCATTCTGCAGTCTATAAGTATTTCCAGTACTTTCCCAGCAAAGGAGAAGGCACGAGTGTGTGCTTTCTGCATTTCCAAAGAGCATGGACTTCTTGATTTGAAAAAGGCCACCAGAGCATTTATGACTTATAAGAACAGCAGCGTCGTGTGGTGTGAATATTGCCTGTGTGTTTTCTCTGTGAGGGAGGTCTGTTTTGAACACCAAAGCTTCTGGTTGTGCTAATGCTCTCAAATATGGAATAGAGAATAATTACTTAGAGTTTTAATTATGCTTTTTTAAAAAATGTACCTTGTCGGTTGGGTACTCTATCAAGAGCACGCATGGGATAAGTGAGAACAACACCGTGTTGGCCTGAGCCAATTTCATGGTTGTTTGCTGAAAAGGTTTCTATACATTTACAGAATGCAAACATTGAGCCTCCCATCTCCCTGGGCTGTGGACCTCATAGTAAATGTAAAATGTACACTTACTTTCTGATCATTTCTGCTTTCTGCATTTTACACATCAATGACAAGATCATAAGATTTGCAAACAAGATAAAACCCAAACAAAACAACCTAGATCATTGATTTTGACAGAGATGGCTTTACTTTTTAATGGAAATGTTTAAAACTGACTCTACCAATAAGTGAAAGTATATTTTGCACATTGACTTCTTCCTCTCTATGTTATTATACATGTTCACTCTGCTTTTTAGCTCATAAAGTTATGTCCTGAATTTACCTGAATAAGTATCTTCAGGCCCATTGACATGAGTCAACCAGGGTTTCAAGGTACCCATACTAATGTTATATAGGAGCTGAGACCCTCAGATGAGCAGGATTGTTGAGTCAGAAGCATTGCATGATTTGCTGCCCTTACATCAGTTCTGTCTTCCTCAACAAGGCTTAGGTCTTTACAATTTGATGGGGAAGTTGAGCTGGTAAATTCAAGGCAAGTACAATGACAAGTTATTTCCTATAAGTGAGTAGTACAGCAAGCAAGAAGCAGGCATGAAGCTAGTATCTGCCCCTGTAGAGTTGGAGGACTAGGTAAAGGGCCATAAGCTTGTGCAATAATGGCCACAATGAAGGCAGCACCATTTTGGTGAGTTCTGGCTCTATGAGGTATTGTCTTCTAAAGTGTTAATTAACACAACTGTGTTTTCTATTGTAGTAAAATTCAGAAAATATAAAAGTCACCATTTTCAAGTGCAGTGTAGTGGTATTTAAGACATTCAAAAGTTGTGTGTTGATTCCCAATTCCATAACATTTTCATAATTCTAAATGGAAATCCCACACAGGGACATAGCTCAGCGGCATAAGCTTGGGTCCTGAGTTTGTCCCATGGTACCGCATGCCATGCCAGCCCCAGAGCCCCAGGTGCACATAGCAAGACCCTGTACCAAGCAAATAAAATAAAATGCATGGAAATCCCATACTCGTGAAGCACTTACTTCTCACTGTCTCTTTCCTTTAGCTCCTCACAACCACCAACCTACTTTCTGTTCCCGTGGATTTATCTCTTTCACATAACTGGAATCCAACCATATGTATCATTTTATGTCAGACTTCTTCCACTTACCATAATGCTTTCTAGGTTCTTCTATGTTGTACCATATAACATCACTTAATTCTGTTTTATGGCTGAGTAATATTCCATTATATGAAGTGAACCACATTTTCTTTATCCATTCATCAGTTGATAGATGTTCTCCTTTTTTTTCTGCCTTTTGGCCACTGATAATAGTGCTGCTATGAACACTTGAGTGGAATTTTTTTCACGGACTTATTTTTGGATTTTTAAGGATATGTACTTAGAAGAGAAATTGCTATGACCCATTGTAATTCCATGTTTATCTTATTGAAGAACTGTCAGAATCATTTGCATTACAGTAAGATGATGTCACATGGATGTATCTTCTAGCTGCAGCTGTCATATATCTAGCAGCGTCAGGATGAGGAGTACTGAGACTCACTTTTGCAGGAATTTCTGACCTATACCAGGCACAAGTTAGAGATGTTGTCTTATTTAAACCTCAAAATAAACCCTGCAGGGAGTTTTGGGCCTCCTGACAGAGCAAGGAATTTCAGTCATTTCCATCTGTGGCATAATGATTGGGGGCAATGCACAAACAAATGTGCCGTACATTAAGTGATGTGCCCAAGAGGCCAGATTGTGCCATTGGTCTGAGCCAACATTACAATTAGGAGCATCTTCAGACCCCAGAGGCTGAATTCATGCTGCCATGGCATTTTCAATAAAAACCCATGTGCTTTTTGGCAACATCCCCAAATCATCTCATTCATAATGGTCTCATCCTGATACACATGGGGAAATTCAAAATTCCCAAGTTTAGAGAGTATGCACCAATCGTTTTTGAAAAACATTTCTAACCTCTTGTGCTGTGATTGGACTTAAATAATCCCAAGAGGGATGCATTTCAAAAGGCTTCTCAATGAAGATGCATCAGGTTCTAATTTAACAACTCACTACTAGCACAGCACAGTCAGAACAACCTTCCCTTTTCTTGCCCACCCTGACCTTTTCCACAGCAGCAGTAGCTGTTCTGAGTAGGCAGACAGGTCCTGTGTGCGGAAAACAATAGAGCAGATAAAATGTGTTCAAAAGCTAAGTCTTACCTCCTCAAATAGAAGTTCAAAACTTGAGAACAGAATGGTTGAATTATAGTATACACATTGAAGATGTTAGCTGCCTAACCATGAAGACTCATGATTATAATAGAAGTTTTAACAGGAGATTTTGCTTTCTAATGATTCTTTAAATTCTGAGATACATAATCATGTACGCACATGGTTTCAATGGGGGAGTGATAAAGATTACACCCTGAAGATACTTATTTAAAGTTTGGGTGTTCTCTACATCCACTTCACCTATTACATTTTCTTTTCATGGTGGGGTTCTGTTTGGAAAGCAGACACACACCCAGTGTGTTCCAAGGTCATGTGCTGCTGCTGGAACAATATAGGCAAGAGGGTAAGAAGAGAATGGTTGTATGGTCAGACAGATGTGAGTTCCAATCACAGCTCTGGCATTTTCGAACTGGATGACCTTGAACCAATATAAGTGGCTATAAAATGGAGGCAACAATAGTACATATTTCACTAGGGTTTAGTGGAGATTCAATGAATAGATAAATCAATACAAACCAAAGCACTTGACTCTAAGCTTAGCGCATAGTAAGTGCTTACTGCTTGATGTGATAATCACCAGCATTATTACTCCTGCCAAAACTGATCTAAAACTCTTATATTCTTTGAAGTGCTGGATATATTTCCTTTCCCTTTTCTTATAAGGAATGGGATGGTAAAGAGCATTGCTGAGTTATTTACCTGGAAGATGGCATGTTTATGGAAAACTTGCATGCAAGTTTCTGTCTTGTCCTTACATTTACTGCGTGGGGCTGGCCATGAGGAATTAAGTGTTGTCGTGAAGAGCATGGCTTTTGTAATAGAGAAGCCTGGTCTTACATCCCAATCTTACATACTAACTGCATCACATTGTGCAAATTGCCTAACATCTCTGTCTCAGATCTCTCACCAGTAAGCTAGGATAAAACAGCCTCGTCTAACTCACACGGGTATTGTGAGGATCAAGTGAAGATCATGTACACGTGTACATAGAAGTGCCTTATAAAAACAACGAAAGAAGAAAAATGCATTGAAAACCATAGGCACCACACAAAGAGGAGTTATTCCTCCTTGTGTCCCTTGTAGACGTTACCTGGGATCTTCTTCTTCTGGATCCATGAGGAAATAAACATTGCCCTTCATGGTGGCCAAGGCGTTGGTAGGGACCTACTAGGGACTGTACTGAATGTCCTAACTGGTTCCGAAGGCTTCCCTCACATACAAATACACTTAAACAACCCCCCCATCCTGAAATTGTTTCAAACAGAGATCCCTGGGAACAAAGGCCACATTGCCAATGACACCGCACTAAGCCCCCCAGAAAATTACATGTCTCAAAATTTTTACTCAAATGATTGATGAATAGAGCAGTGATAGGCTTTCATTGCAGTATTTAGCTTTTTCTTTTCAGCCCCTGCTCTGTCCTAGAGAAAGGCTTTCACAGCTCTGCTGTGGTGCTGTACTCACCTCATTTCTCTCTTTGGAGTCAGCCTGGGATGAGACAGAAATAATCACTCAAAACCACAGTTGCATATTACAAAATTACAGAAGAGCATTGGAATCTAACACAGCACTTTTTACTTTGTGTCTGCATAAACGTGTATGTTACAACATGTTCCTTTTGGTTTTTAAAAGTAGTTGGATGTCAATGGCATGATTGGGCTTGGGGAAGGGGGAGTCTCCTGTTGTCCATTGCCCAGATAACTGATTTTTATTTCTCATCTGATGCTATTGGCATCATAGACATGAATCCA